ATATATATATATATATATGTGTGTGTGTGTGTGTGTGTGTATATATATATATATATATATATATATATGTGTGTATATGTATATATATGTATGTGTGTGTATGTGTATGTATGTGTAAACCTGCCTCTACACAACATGGAAGCGCCTGTCAGACATCATAGTAGCTAAGATGAGCAGGCACATGGCTCAATACATGAGCAGTGCCCAGAAAGGAATTGGTAGTAACACCAGAGGAACATGTATGCCAGGAGTGAACGAGACATCGACTCACTGATCCACACCACTAGGATCTACAGCCAGGACATCGAAATGTCATTTGTACTGGATAAGTGTGGTCGAATGGTAACAAGGAGAGAGGAAAGGTAGTCAAAACCGAGGGGATTGTACTACCAGAAGGCAACATAGCAGATGTTGAGGATAGCTACAAGTACCTTGGGATCCCGCAAGCAAATGGGAACCACGAAGAGGCCGCAACCACCAAGTACCTGCAGAGAGTAAGGCAAGTCGTGAGAAGTCAGCTGAATTGAAAGGACAAAGTCCAGGTGATTAACACCTACGCCCTGCTGGTCATCAGGTACCCTGCTGGCATTATAAGCTGGCCAAAGCAGGAGATAAGAGGCCACTGACATTAAGACAAGGAAGCTCCTTACAATGCACGGTGGGTTTCACCCCAAGTCCAGCATCCTGAGACTGTACACTAAGCGGAAGAAAGGTAGTCAAAACCGAGGGGATTGTACTACCAGAAGGCAACATAGCAGATGTTGAGGATAGCTACAAGTACCTTGGGATCCCGCAAGCAAATGGGAACCACGAAGAGGCCGCAACCACCAAGTACCTGCAGAGAGTAAGGCAAGTCGTGAGAAGTCAGCTGAATTGAAAGGACAAAGTCCAGGTGATTAACACCTACGCCCTGCTGGTCATCAGGTACCCTGCTGGCATTATAAGCTGGCCAAAGCAGGAGATAAGAGGCCACTGACATTAAGACAAGGAAGCTCCTTACAATGCACGGTGGGTTTCACCCCAAGTCCAGCATCCTGAGACTGTACACTAAGCGGAAGGAAGGAGGCTGAGGATCAGTGAGCATCAGAGCCACTATCCAGGATGAAACAACAAAGATCCATGAATACATCAGGAAGATGGCCCTTTCCTGAGTGATGACATGCTTGAGTGAACACCTCAGGCAGCAGAAACCAGAGGAACAAGGGAAGGAAGAGCAGGAACCCTCATGGAAGGACAAACCTCTGCATGGTATGTACCACTGTCAAATAGAAGAAGTGGCTGGACAAAGCTGGACTGAAAGACAGCACAGAGGCACTAATTATGGCAGCACAAGAACAAGCTCCAAGTACAAGATCAATAGAGACAGGGGTCTACTATACCAGACAGGGCCCCAGGTGTAGGCTGTGCAAAGATGCCCGAGACAATCCAGCACATAACAGTGGGGTGGAAGATGCTAGCAGGCAGGGCATACATGGAACGCCATAACCAAGTGGCTGGCATAGTGTACAGAAACATCTGTGCCAAGTACAGGCTGGAAGTTCCAAAGTCAAAATGGGATGCACCTCCAAAGGTGGTTGAGAATGACCAAGCTAAGATCCTGTGGGACTTCCAGATACAAACAGAAGAAGGCCATAGTGATAGATGTAGCAATCTCAAGCGATGGCAACATCAGGAAGAAGGAACACGAGAAGCTCGAGAAATACCAAGGGCTGAAAGAAGAGCTAAAAAAGATGTGGAAGGTCAAGGCACAAGTGGTCCCTGAGGTAATAGGAACATTGGGGGCTGTGACCCCCAAATGGGGAGAGTGGCTCCAACAGATCCCAGGAACAACATCTGAGATCTCTGTCCAGAAGAGTGCAGTCCTAGGAACAGCTAAGATACTGCGCACGACCCTCAAGCTCCCAGGCCTCTGGTAGACCCGAGCTTGAAGGAAGGAATAAAAGACCACCCCAGTGGGGCGAGTGGGCAATTTTTTAAAGTGCTATTCTATGCACTCGGCACACACCAAGCACTTTGTGCCATTTGGCTATTCACCCATTCACACACACACACACACACACACACACACACACTCGCACTCTGTTGGACTTCCCTGACAACGATGTGCAAAAATCTGTATAATGTAAAACTACCTTAATTGTAATGTGCAAAATAGGGGTTTATTTAATTAATGCATGGTGCTGTTCCATCATATTTCATTTGATACCAACTATTGCACCTGAGAAGCAGGTGCAATCATGCCCATATAAACACCTGACTGCCACTGTAAAAAGGCAGAATGGCCATTCTGTTAGCAGGGGAGGAGAAGTGCAAGGAAGAGTGCACAGATAACAGTTAAATTGCAAGAGCATATGGGCACTATCAGCGTACAGAGATAATCAGATGCCCGTATTACGCAGCTGTTGTCTCAGTAGTAATAGTGATATTACCAGCGGAGAACATGAGTACCATGGAGAGTGGGTACAACGGCGGCTTGCATTGATAGTACAGTCAAGTGAGTGTACATGGCTAACACACAGGCACCCGAGTGCGAAAACGCGTGGAATCGGTGCTCGGTGGCGGTTGTGCAAAGAGGAAAGCCACTCGGTCGCGTAGAAACTCGGATGCGTCCCAAAGGTAGAATAGGGTCAAAAGACACGGCCCATGAGGCTACCGTGCAGATTTCCTCTATGACCATGCCTTAAGAGGGCAGTGGAGGATGCAATAGCCCTCATAGAGTGGGCTCTGATGCCAAGTGGGGGATCACACCCAGCTAACGTAAGCCTGTGTGATAGCCTCATACAGCCAGTGAGACAGCCGTGGTTTGGATAAAGGTTGTCCAAGCGCACCGGACAAAGAGCATGAAGTTCTTTCTCTGACTTATCTCTGGGGGGTGGAGGAAAGAACCCATCCAGATAATGACTCTGGTTCGAACAAAGGATATTATTTTCGACGCATAGGCAGGATTCGGTCCCAGAACGGCTGAGCTGTCGTCTTCGTGTATGAGAAGACATGCCGATGAGAGTGCGCACAGATGGCCCACTTGCTTAGCCAAAGTTAGGGCTAAGAGAAGTGCTGTTTCTAGAGAGAGATGTTTGAGTGAGATTTCTGGGCCCAATGGGAGGTTCCCTGAGCGCACGTAAAACCAGAAGTAAATCCCACTGAGGTGCCACCGAACGCATCACAGACTTGTCTGCCTATACCCCTGGGAAAGCATTTCACCAGTGGGTGTGCAAAAATGGTTCGCTTACCAAATACTTCATGGCATGAAGAGATGGCAGTGCCATACGCTTACACAGTAGACAGAGCCAGGTTTCTGTTTACCAGGATCTGTAGAAAATTCAGCACTTAAGATAGTGGGCAGGAAGTGGGAGCTGTGCCCCCCTCCGTGCACCAACGTTGAAAAACTGACCATTTGCAGCTTAAGGTGCCATAATAGACAGAGCTCTCGTGCACTGAATTGCGTGCATGACCCCCAGAGGCAACCTTAGTCTCTGCAGTCACCCCGTTCAGGGGCCAGGCCCACAGCCATTGAACTGACACTGCTGGATCACGCTGAGCAGATGAGAGAGCGCTTGTATTTCTTTGGGGCAGTTGAAGGTGCAGCTCAGTGGACAGCAGCACCAAACACTTTAAACTTATTGTAGGTGGAAAGCTATCCCACAGTGATCCATAGCATATATCCTTAAAGATACCACTGGCGGAAAATAAATCTAGAACTTTGTTGTCCGTTGTTGGAATTTGCCCCCCCCTAGGCTAATAGAGTTCCATAGGGATGACATTTTTGTAGGCTAGCTCGGAAGTTAGCTTCACCCTAGTTCCCTTGACAAAAAGATAATGGGATCTTTTTATAGGCTATTAGATTATTGCAGAAAATTAGCTCTGTGACAAAAGGTTTGATGTTTTGTTTAGCAAGATAATCATCACAGATCACCTCTTATGAATTTTTGAAGCCCAAATATGATCACCAGAAGTAAAAAGCTATTGTTTGGCTATAAACAAACTACACCACGGCCCCTTGACTTCAGCAGCCCCACCGTGACTTCCAACCTGTAAACTGATTTAGCGCACTTACCTCTTCTACAAAATCCTTTCCTTTTAGCATGACCTGATCTAGCTAGTGATCATGGCTTTGTCTTTCGGTTATAGTTTAAACATAATGGGATTGTAAAGGCAGACTAGTGAGTAGATGAGTCTCCATGTTTGGCATGGATGGCGGTTAAGATCCCAGACAGCTTCTGTAGTGTTATTTAGCCACTTGTTAGCAACTTCCTTTTTTAAGATGCATAAAGGCATTAAAAATCATGAGTGCTGTATTTACTGATATTTTACTTTGTAGAAGAAAATGTATTGGCCTTGTGTTAACCACAGACCTTATTTCAGGCGTCTAACCAAAAACCCATTGGCTTCAGTGCGAGGAAACTGGAAATACAAAAATGCTAACTCGGTTCAGGGTTTGAGGACTCTACTGCACCACTCTATACTTAAGCAGGCATACATTTTAGCACAATAGAGCTACAAGTGTTGTATCTGCTGCATGTATGCATGTAGCACCCATTGTAGAGTCTGACCGGCAGTCAGGGAAGAAAGGTGCACATGCTTTGCAATTATTTTTTCCTTCAATTCCGGTAATAAGCAACTGTGCATGGTATGATAACCATCAATTTTCATACCTTGGTATACTGTGAAACCAGGATACCACTTGCAACCCTATATTAGACCTTTCTAATGTTAAATCTAAAGATTAATTGGTAAACTCTTTTTATTGACTATGGCAACTAATTTAGTTTTTGTGGAAGAGTATCCAATTATATGTTAATATTTATTCACAAAGTGTTCCACATCTTTGTTCAAAGCATGTTTCTTGCAGCAGCACAGTGTCACAATCATTTTAAAGCAATGAACTCAGTGTGCTGGTTATTTTAATGGGAGAATTCAGACCACAGCAGTTCCATACTAGTATCGAAAGATTATCCATAAAGTAGAAAATAAAGCTTGATTTATATCCCTGGTCATTGGTACAAAGTCAGACCAAATCAAGACTTAATAATATGGTGAACTTGGAACAAGTAAACAGACTGGACTAAATGGTCAAGATGCTATTCCAGAGATCAGTGGCTGGCATCTTGGGGTTTAGCAGTTTCCCCTCCCACAGTTAAATTAGTGCAACAGGTTGAGATATGTTACAAATCTTTTTTTTTATTTTATTTTTTTTTTTTTATAATAATAACATGCTCTCTTCGTTCTCTCCTCAGACCTGCTCCTAAACAGAAGAAATGACGTGTGGGAAATGGACAACCCATTCACAACCAATCGTCTACTTTTCATGCCATCTGTGTCTGTTGCCCTCAACCTGCCTTTTGGTAAATTTCTACACTGTGTGAAAGCATGATTTTGCACACAGTGTAAAAATTGCCTGTATATTTTACAGTTAATTGGACAACCATGCAAATACTACTGATGAGGTTGGGAGTGCATTCATGTCATTTGAGGTCATTTCAGCCACAGTCTCATTTGGTTGCCAGATTGCAGAAAGTTGTTTTCTAATATAGGTTTTATCATATATAAAGGGTCTGTGCTTGTTGGGCCACCCTTATTTCACATCTGTTAAAGCACAAGTAATGCCAGGTCTGTGTTCTGTGCAACAACTCAAAAACCTTTTGTTGAAATAATTTTATGTAAGTGTTTTGTGTGGTCAGGAATTTTTCTTTTTCTTTTTTGCTTCTGACTTCCTTGTCCTTTAATTAATCTGTTAGACTGTTAGGGATATCTCAAATAGCCATGGATCATCTAGACCCCAGATGGCTAAAATTTTTAATGTATGTTATCTGTCAGAAGTGACTTTTTGGTAAAACACAGTTTGCAATAGAGAGTTTCTGGTTTGCACAGTAGGTGGAAAAACCCTTATGCTGAGCTGTTTAGTGGTGAGGTGGAAAATGGCCCTTTGTGTGTGTATACCCTGCAGACAAATATAGATGGCTTTTTCAGTCGAACTTGTCATTTGATGCTAGCATAAATTTTCAGCAGATGATGAAGCAGCAGAATGGTTGTACGTGTTTTATAAAAACTTGTGCTTGGACCATGTATATTTTTTGACTTAATGTTCAACTTTGTTTTAATAAAACATTTGATTCTTGTTTTTCATTGGTTATAATCTTTGATCGAGTAACCACTGTTCTTACAAACATGAACGATTTTTGTCTTTAAAAAGCACTGCATGCCCTTCTGTTAGAGCCGCCACTTTCAGAAGTGATGGTGTCAGTTCAGGTGCTTGGTATGATTCAGTTAATGCGGAGCCAGCACCTGTATAGAGACTATGTCTGTCTGAGGTGACTGATATCAGTAAAACTGAAAATTTAAAATCGACTTGGGCAACTGATAAAATGCACTGGCAGTATATGTGGTTCGTTAAATGTACAGAGGAAATCAACCCGATTTCCTAAAATGTTAACTGTCAGCTAGTGCAAAACTTCCTGCGTTTCACTTCGACGCCTGTACACTAGTTTATAACATCTAGGAACAGTTGCTCTACCACGCCTTCATTTGAAGACTAACTTTTGGAAGTTTCTTGTGTGACTTGAGCGGTAGATTTGTTTTGGCAGCCATTTTGTGGGAAATGTCTCTGGAACGCGCTGAGCTATACTTGCCTGGTGTCGGGAGTGCGCTCTCAATGCAGCCCCTTTCCATTGACCGATATTAACATCACGGAGGGGCTAGCCACCATAAACTTAGCTGTAGTTGTGCCTACTAAAATACATTTAGTGTTTGTTTTTTTTATAGTGTCAGTTGTATTGTTCATGGCCCATCGGCTGACCGTTGCCCGCCAAACACCCTGCAGTGTGCGGACTGTATTCAAATTTCAGTGGCAGTGTTTTAATAGACAGCTAGCTTGCTAGCTAATAGCTAGCTATCTTATGTTAGCCTCTTGCCTTGAAATTAATTTAAACAGCTGACGGGTGTGCAAATTCAACTGACCAAGGCTGTAACATACGTGGTCTCTTGTATGTCTGAGAGTACAGCTGGAAAAAGTAAATTAAATTTGCAGAATAGAAGGACTGAGTTCGGTGTTTGTGGTTCAGGCAGCGGGCTACCCACCTCCCCTTAGGCACGACTAGCTGTGCTGCGCCGGCGATTAGTCCCTGTCGACAGTCCACGCTCTGAGCGCCGGAGAATAACGCTATTGACTGGAATCTAATCTCTCCAGGATTCTATCGACACACAGATCTACATCACATTATTTGGATTTCTGTTGTGGAAGGAGGACGACTGACCCGGGGGAGGGGGCTCGGTTCGTGCGGACTGAGGGAGATGAGGGTTCCGAACATGGCTGCTACGCGGATCTTGGTGCGACACACCGCCTGAGGTAAGAAATAGCTGGTCGGCGTTGTCTTTGTTTTTAAAACTCATGTATGAATTGGGGGTTAATTGCCTTTTGTCTCCAAGTGTTGGAGGCTTGTCAATCATAGGTAACAGTGCTTGGTAGCATAACGTTACCCCTTCCATACGTTATTCGCTCCTGTCACCCGGCCTCGTGTCCCCATTCCTCTGCCACTGCTGGTCAGATTAGAACCGGACAAGGTGTGCAGGCTTTGATGAAATAGGTGGTTAACGTTAGCGTTGGACGGTATATCGCGTCAAACACTTCAGATTTTGCTGGCGCATACATGATAATTGAGACTTGTATTACGGCGATCGACCTCATAAGGTTACCCCATTTCAGTACTATGCAATGTCCTCTACACCGATGACCACCTTCTTCAAGTCTACCTTGTGATTCAGTCGGTTACTGTCTGGCGACTTGAACAAGAGTAGGGTTGGTCTTAAATACACTGATTGATTCGATCAGTAATGTGTATCTAGGCAGGTTTCGGTGGCAGCGGTATCGCGACTTGCCTGGAGTTGAACAAACGATACCAAATAGACGGTGACAGGATGCCAGCGGAGAAAAACGGAGGGAGATATGGGAGATGAATGGATGTTGCTGTGTGATTGAGATCAGTTGATATTCGGTGGTGTAGACGATTGTCTTGGTGTCGTGCGTGTGAATTGTGATGGCTTTAGATGTTGCAGCAAGCAACCCCCGGCTGTCTACTCAAGATGTGCAACATTTCATCTGCTATGGTTAGCCGCTAGCTTAGCTAACGTTACCGCATCAGCCCCAGCCCCTAACGTTACCCTGCTCAGGAGTAGAGGGACGCAGGCAGTTAGGAGCAACCATCTCCCGGCTGCTCCTAGGCAAGGAACAGAACTGTGAAGAAACAAGTGCTAAAGCACAGCTTCAGATTTTATGACTTCACATCCCTTCTCTCAGTTTAAATGGTTCTTAGTGGTCTTCTTTCTGTTGTTGCTCAAGAGTAGACATTGTGTAAAATTGTTGCCTGTTTAAAAGAAGGATTGTCACAGATGTTCCATACTTAAGTTTGGGTTACTGCTTTGTGGTGAACACATTTCAGTCTTAAAACAGACTATTGTCCAAAGACATTTCTTATATGTACTTTTCATTTATTATGCCTTCTCAAATCATGTCTTGGTAATACAGAACCTACTGGGCACAACGAATTAGTTATTTGTCCACTTAACCAAACCAGTCATACACAGGCCATACTGGAAAATCCTGATGGGAGGAAAGCATAGATTTTCACAAGTTTAAGCTTCTGTCAGAAGCATCTTAGACAGACATTTGCAAACTTAAGAATGTTGCTGCCCAATTTGAAATATGAATTAAACCTTTAAATAGGCCTTGGATCAACCCAATAGACTAAGATTAAGTATTACTCCATATATTTTTATTTCATAAACATTACAATTGCATGTGAATATGTTCCTATATGGCAATATAGTGCAAAATTAACAATCCATTCACATGGGCTATGCAACAAATTGTGAAACAAATATGAGAATATTTCACAATATCCAACCCAATATCAATATGAAGAAAAAACCGCATCATTTTAACCTTGAATCAGGCCCACTTGCATACGTTTCAACACATTCTGATAGTTTTTTACAAGCTCTCATAGCTTGGCATTGTCGTTTAATATGTGATGTTATGTTTAGCAGCATAAAACGAAGTGTTAGCTCTCTCAAGTCTCTAAATTGACAACGCAAGTTAGTCCAATCTTTGTGAAACCACTCGCAAACGGTTTTTTTTTTCACTGCGCTGGGAGAACATAGAAATGGTGTGCTCGTATTCTGCTCAGTCGCTGCTTCGACACATCTTCAGCCATATCATCAATGTAGTTCTTTTACTGTGTTATCATATAAAGAAATCAAATGAAGTTGTTTAGCTGGTTTCTCACTGATCATCACTCCAAGCATCTCTTTGGAAGCATGTAAAATAAAGTCCTCACCAATATTGTATGGTATCCCGGTTTTTGTGATTAGCTTTGCCACTCAGTAGACCACTGCCTTGGCGTTTTCACTCTAGGCCTGTCACTTATATCTTTAACCAGATTTGGATAATTGCTCAAAATTTGAACAAAAAGTGACAGCCCTATTTCACTCCCAGTGACATATTTTGATTCAGTCACTTTTTTATGGCTCAAATACTCTGAGCTTTTTTTTTTTTTTTTAAGTTCTCGAGGCTTGGATGAAAATTGTTCGTGTTTAGTTTCTAGATGAAGATTTCAGGGCCTTGTTTGCTAGCACTTCTGAGGTAGGTAGGTAGGTACTTTATTGATCCCATGGTGGGGAAATTTCTGTGTTACAGCAGCAATAGAGAACAACCAACATCACACCATAAGAACAGACACATAAGGAACATGGGAAAGAACATGAGGACACAGCTGCTGTAACTTGCTGCCACTCCACGCGGCGCATGAGTACGTAAATACGTAGTAACAAAGAACACTTAGTCTTAAAATAAAAAGTTACTTAAAGGCAACAGGACCGATACACACAAGGATTATAAAAGTAGCGTCATCAGAACGTTACATTTTGCACAAATAAGCAAATCAAAAGCACCTAAAAATAGGGCAGAGCAGCACTGTAGAGAATCAGGAACAGCAGTAGAGGCTAAACAACCAGGAAATCAAGAACAATCGAATATTACTCACACAGTTGATCCAACAATGGGGGAAAGAAACCTGTTTCAGCCATAAGTACCTAAAGCAGGGCAATGTACAGTATTTGAGAGAGATCCGGAACCAAGATATTACACGAGCCTATTTACAATGCATTTCACCCCCAGGAGCTGAAATGTTGCACCACAGTAGATTATTGCATTGTCCCTCATAATTTCACCTATCTTATCACTGCAGTGATGTGTTGTACAGTCTGATTGCTGTGGGGAGGAATGACCTGTGGTAACGCTCCTTCTTACACTGGGGATGTAACAGTGTCATGGTAAAAGAACTGTTCAGAGCCTCCACTGTGTGGTGCAGGGAGTGGGAGGGGTTATGCATAATGATTTTAATTTTGCAAGCATCCTTCTGTCCGCCACCTCCTCAATGGAATCTAGAGGGTAGCCCAGGACAGAACCAGCTCTCTTAACCAGCTTGTTGAGTCTCTTTGTGTCCCTGACCATACTACCTCCTGCCCAACCCACCACAGCGTAAAAAACTGCAGATGTCTCCACAGTATCATAGAATGTCTGAATGAGTGCTCCGCGCACACTAAAGGACCTCAGTCTCCTCAGCAAGTGGAGGTGGCTCTGGCCCTTCCTATACAGGGCATCTGTGTTATTGGTCCAGTCCAGTTTATTGTTGAGGTGGACACCCAGGTATTTAAAGGTGTCCACAATCTCAATGACTGAACCCTGAAAGCTCACCAGCATGAGTACTGGTGATTTCCAGCGGGGGTCAATCACCATCTCTTTAGTCTTGCTGGTGTTCAGGACCAGGTGATTTTTCTCACACCACTCCACAAAGTCAGTAACAACCCCCCTGTATTCCCCCTCGTCCCCCCCAGATACACATCCAACAATAGCAGTGTCGTCTGAGAACTTTTGTAGATGACACTGGTGGGAGTTGTACTTGAAGTCCGACGTGTAGAGGGTGAACAGAAAGGTGGAAAGCACCGTCCCCTGGGGTGCCCCTATGCTGCAGACTACCACATCCGACACACAGTCCCGCAGCCTTACGAACTGAGGTTTGTTTGTGAGGTAGTTTATGATCCATTCAGACAGGTGTTGGTCCACACCTGCC